TTTAGGATTTTATATCCATATATTATGTCCGTATTTTTCGATTTTATATCCACCCTATTTATAATATTCATATTATTTATTTACAATAAATAAATTTATTTTAATTTACCTTTATAAATTTATTTTTTGTTTTGCTTATTTCTGGATTTATCCATTTTGGCTAAATTATACTATCCATGTTAATTGTATTGGTACTTTTCCGTTATCACTTCCACCTCCCCTCCCTCAATTTTCCTTTTTCCAAATTTGATCGGCTATTACTTTTTGAATTTTATATCAGCCTCTCGATAAGCGTTATCTTTCTTCCATGTGGATGGATCGAGTCTATTTATTCATAAAAAGTTACGAGTTAATACTTAACTTATAACATAAACAAAGGGGGGGGGGGGCGTAATCCGAAGGAATTACCCATTGAATTTGGAGGGATTATAGGGGATATCGAGGGATTGGCTCTTGATCTCACTTACCATATTTCCACTAATAGAGCGACATGCCGCAATATTTTTCAAACCCTGTCAAAGTGCTATTTGGGACTGCCGTTCAAATGGAAGTTGCGATCTATTTTTCATACAGAAAATATTCGGGAATAAAATTGTCGGATAGTTGGAAATCTTCTGATATCCGGATCCGAAATTTTTATTTTGAGAATTTATTTTCAGATATTTTTTAAATTCAAAATAGGTGCTAAAAAATTTGATACCAATGGAGTGTTATAAAGAGAGGAGCAATTATGAATGGATTTGGCGAATTAACAGATCTTTCTAGGGAATTTAGGATTAGTAGAGTTATCTAGGGATATGTTAGGATTGAGTGTATTTGGGGGAATCAAAGGATTGATATTTTTATTACGTTAATCTTGTGGATTACGAGCTAGGGTTGGGATCCCTAATAATTTTACTCTCATAATCCTTTTAATCTTTCGATATAGCCAAATCATCATATTAAACTATAAAACGAGGATATGTGAGGGGAATTACTCGATATCGTTCTTAACTGTTAAATCGAAGATATTCTTATTTGGATCTGGATTTGAACGATATCTGAGTGTCTGGATCATATATAAAGATAATTCCTTCAATATCTTAATTCCTATCTCTAGTAATATTTAAAAGTAAATATTACATGGTGTAGAAGGGGCCGCTCTATTGGAGATTGATTTGAGGGATTGAGATTTCTGGATTAAGAGGATTAAAAGTATTTATGAGATTTGTGGGCCTTAAAAGGACAATGTGAATTGGTGGATCATCGAATGAGCATTAATCGCACCATATCCTCTTAATCTTTCTAAATTCTTTTTTTTTTATTTGTTAAATTTATATATGAGTTTTTTTGTTAAAATTGTTTATTGATTTTTTTTGCTTATTGATATTTTTTTGATTTAAAATTATCGAATTAAAATAAGATTTTGTAAAGCATATAGCAATTTAATTCCTAAGGCTGTGCAGTAGGTGGAGTGTTGTAATGGGTAACAAATCAGCCCGGTCTAATGAAGATGATGGTTCGCTCCCAGCCGTCAAATATTGCATTGCTGAAGGAGAGATGCATCATTGCTGATGCATTGCTGAAGGAGAGAAATAACTATAGCCCAGCTGCTTTAATATTTAAAAATTAAAAAAATAATTTTTAGTTTTTTGACATATTTCAATAATAGATCTTTTATCTAATTATATATCAAGCTCTTACGCCCACCTATATCCCGTTTATTTTTAAAATTATATTTTAGATTCTGGAATTTATACAAAATAAAATTTTTGAAATGGATAAGATTACAATTAACTTGCATAAAAATGTTTCTACATATATTTATCACTCTAAGACAACGAATTTTTGTATAGCCATCATATCTTGATTTAAATAATTAACCTGGAACCAGTAATGCAGCTTCGTGACAACATGCTGCGGTAACTTTAACGATTATTTAATAATTACAAAATTTGATAACAGTTTGGTTCGTATTCCCCTTCTTTTTTCTTTCTAAAAGTATTAAATAATGGTCAGTCAGTCTTAGGTTATATAATTCGTCGAGCTGTATCAAATGGCACAAAATCTTTATGTCATTACTTTATGTCATCAGATCTTGTTCAATCACGTTGATTTTGATGTCATTCGAATGAGCTCGACAAGCTCTTTCGAATGAACTATTATTTGATTAATCGAATTTTCAGACCAAAAATAATCTTGACTCCCCTGTAGTTTTTCACTTTTCGGGGGTGTATCTCGGCCTAATGCTTAGATCAAATGATTTTGGTGTCATTTATACAGCTCGTTGTGTTCTATAACTAGGGATGGGATTTATATGGACTATCAATCGAAAAATATGGACATATAATATGGACTAAAAATCTCAAAATATGGACTGAAATATGGACTAAAATCCTAAATATGGATCAAATATGGACCGAAAAATGAAAATTTTTGATGGAAAAATGAATTTTTACAAATAAATAATTTGATTTTGGTCATTTTAAGTGTTTTCTAAAGGGTTTTTGTCAATTAAAGGTACATTTAAAGTGTTTCCCAGGTTGTTCAGAAAATTTTTTCGAAAAATTTTTACCAAAAATTTTTTTTAATTTTTTTTCAAAAATTTTTTCTTAATTTTCTCAAAAAAATTTTTTTCTGACAAAAAAATACCAAAATTTGAAAATTTTGACCAATTTTTGCCAAAATTTTCAAAATTTTGGCCAATTTTTGGCAAAATTTTACAAAAAATGACGAAATATGGATAAAATATGGAAATATGGACGGAAAGCCAAAATATGGAAAAATATGGAAAATATGGATTGATAACTCATTATCGGTCTTATCAACATATGCTAAAACAACGTTTTTCGTGCGTTTCACGACCCAATTAGGCCAGGAAAAAAATATGGAAATCCATATAAATCCCATCCCTATCTATAACCTAAGACTGCCATTTTTCAATACTTTTAAGAAGGAAAAAGGTTTTTACTAATTTTTTACCGACAAATTTCTTACCGACATAAAAAATTTTTACCAACAAATTTGGTTGAATATCGGGGATATTAAGGCATCTGAAAGGATTAAATTCTAATCCACTCAAACTAAATTTTATATTAGGGAAGGATAATATTTAAAATTGTTTTTATTTATAGGGTTACCAATATTTGACTGAGGTCCATTATGTTAACGACAAAGGAGAAGATTCGGGTGTTATGTTCTCCGAACAAATGTCAAAAGAGCACAATATGGATATTCTTGTTGGTCGGTTAATGGATAAACTTTCTTATCCTGAAGGGCACCCTTATTCTTATGAACCTGGCGGATTAGCAAGTGAAATAGTCAAGGATACTGGCAGATTAAGTGAATTAACTGAATATCAACGCAAATATTTCCATCTGAAAAATATGGTAAGTAAATTAAAGCTGAAATATTATTTAAATTTAAAAATTAAATCAGCAATTCCTTTTCAAAATATCTCAAATAAATTTTCTAGAATATTACACCTCTCTATTTAATATTATGCTTTTTATGGTACATACTAGGGTTGTTCCCCTTCCCCGAAAGTCGCTGAATTTGAGACATTATTTTGAAAATTCCTTTTGAAAAATCCTCCAGCTCCACTAATTTTTTATCGGCAAATTTGTATGATTATTGGGGAAATCAGGGAATCTGAAGGGTTTTAATCTAAATTCCTTCAAATTAAATCTTATATATTGGGAAGGATATTAATTTAAATTTTTTCTTTAAAGAATTCGTACTATTTAACTGAAGTGCATTATGTAAATGGTGATGGAGACTGGAATGGTTAATGAGGAAGAATTAATTAATAAAATTTTACTATTGGAAAGTCTTTATTCTAATAGAATTCCCGACAATTTTACGAGGCCCTTTCAATCAGAGCTTGCTCCACTTATAGCCCAAACACGGGAAGAACGTATTCCTTACGATGAAGATAAATTAGGTTGGTACATTTATTGTTAAATTAATTATAAATAATACGACAGTCGATGTGAAATTGTAATAAATTTATTATTTTTATGACATTTGTTACGAGCGTATAACCCAGCGACCGTAGCCAATAATAAATTTAAAAAATACTATATAAAAATATGAATTTCATAGGAATGTGCCAAATTTGCTGGAGAGGTCCAACTGGCTCTGCAGTTTACATTCAAAGAGCTTTGCGTCTACTGATCCAATATATTAAACGTTACCTTGTGCAAAATTTAATTGATGTAAAATACCCATTCTGCTCTAGCTTAGAACTAACTTTTGCGGTGAGATCAGAATGTTTAATCAGTGTTTTCCTTAATGATGTGCCTGCTCAAGAATTTGAATATACTATTAGAGGATCGACTGTTTATTGTCATAAGAATTCCATGAACATGATCTGACTTGAAAAAAATTTTTATATTTTAGGAATAGAAATTAGTAATAGAAAATTATTTTCAACGACTTAGATTTTTTATTTATTTTAATTTTTATTCTGATAATTATTTTTAATTATGAAATATAATTTCTTAAACATAACAGGTTTTTGTTACAGTTTTTAATTTGCTTTGCTTATGAAATAAAATACTAGATTAAATTTAAAATTTTTATTTTCTTTTTTTCAAAAACCTCATTTAAAATACAACTGTTTACAATTGCTATTTTGAGCAATAAAAAATGCTCAAAATGGTCTGGAAAAAATGGGAAATTTAGCTAAACTATTACCGTTTAAATCGTTTAAATTAATAAAAATATTTTAATTGTATTGAAAATATATATTGACAATTGATAAAAATTTAAAAAATGCTAAGCCTTTTACTTTTTCCCATGTTTATAATGTCATTCATAAAAATTTCGGTATTTTCACATAGGTCCCCACAACGTCCGCAAATGTTTGACCGCAAATTTACCTTCTCCCTCATAACCATTTTTAATCTTTATGAAAAAAGGAAGAAATGAGAAGCTATTTTGCGGATAAACACTTGCGGACGTTGTGGGAATTTAATGCGCAGTACCAAAATTTCTTTTCTTTCCCCATCCAATCTTCTCTACATTTCCCGAATTCCCGAATGATGGCAGTACATTATCACGTTCCAATTATACAGACACGTAGCGTCGTCTTTGGTTAAACGGCCAAGTTGGGATCCTCCTGGATCACACATTCGAAGACAGCGACTTCCGACCTTTTTAAGATAAATTTTTTGTACTTTAAGATAAGGAACCAAAAGTTGGGGAGAATTTAAATCCAAGTCTTGACAGCATTGCTGATTGTTTCTATTTTGAGATGCACAGTAGAGCACTCCAGAAAGGGATTTTAGGCCACAACGAGAATTTAATGATTGGAGAATCTGTGAAGAGTTTAAGGGGGGAATTTAAATTTTCATTGTTTTATGAACAATTAATTGTTCCAAACGACCAATTAATTGCCCCAAACGACCAATTAATTGTTCCAAATGACCAATTAATTGTTCCAAATGACCAATTAATTGTTCATTGTTTCAAGTGAACAATTAATTGATAATTGGTCTGAATGAACAATTAATTGTTCGAACTATCAATTAATTGTTCATTGTTCTGAACAAACTATTAATTGTTCATTGGTATATATGACCAATCAATTATTTCAGGTGACCAATTAATTGTTCGTTGTCTAGTCGACACATAATTGTTCATTGTTCTGATCAAACAATTATTTGTTTATTATTCTAGTGGAACAAATAGTTGTCCTGTCTATACGAAAAAATAATTGATCATTGTTCCAAATGATCAATTAGCTGTTCATTGGTATAAATGACCAAATAATCGTTCAAACAAACAAATAATTGTTCAGTTTCAAAGACCAATTAATTGTATATGTTTACCAATTTCTTAGCTGCAGCATGATCCGTTTCATATTGACAGAGAAAGTGGCATTCGGGTGCTACAAATTGTTCACAACAAGCAAGAAACAATTTGTTTGCTACAGTTTTGCTTGTACAAGGTTGATAACTTAAATCTGCTGTGCCACATTTTGGCTAAAAAATTTTCCAAAAATTTTTTTTAATTGGAAAAACACCTCCTCTGTTCTTTGTGGGGCGCGTCTTAAATCTCTCAAACTAGAAGGGGCATTATTTGGTTGAATATCGTCTTGTTCAGCAATGGAGAAATGTGTAAAAATAACGAGAAAATTAATTAATGGGAACAGCACAATTGTATTAAACATTTGTAATTTATTTAAATAAAATTTGCTAAAAATATTAAAAGGATTTACAATTGTAAAATCAGAATTTTAAGTTTAATAATTGTCTAGAACTGTCTCTCTTACATTTGAGTGTATGAGAACGTTCTCTCTTATGTCTCTGCAACCTTTTCCGGAGAATAAATTTTCCGGTTGAAACTACAAATTCTGAAAGGAATTTACAAAATCTGAAAAATAAAATCAGAATTTGTAAAAATCAGAATTTACAATTTGCGAAACCAGAATTTACAAATTGTAAAAAATCAGAATTTAAAATTGTAAGAACCAGAATTTGCAACTTGTGAAAATCAGAATTTAAATTTTTAAAAATCAGAATTTATAATTTTAGGAAAAACAGAATTTACAATTCGCGGAAAATCAGAATTTACAATTTGTAAAATCAGAATTACAATTTGTAAAAAATCATAATTACAATTTGTAAAAAAGCAAAATCAGAATTTACAATTTGTAAAAAATCAGAATTACAATTTGTAAAAAATCAGAATCAGAATTTACAATTAGTAAAAACCAGAATTTACAAATTATAAAAATCAAAATCAGAATTTACAATCTCCAGAATTTCTAATTTGTAAATGTCAGAATCAGAATTTACAATTTGCGAAAAATCAGAATTTAAAAATTGTAAAAATCATAATTTAATTAAATTACAATATCTGCCTAAAATTGTCTCTCTTCCTATAAGTCGTAAAATAACGTTCTCTCTCACTTATGTCTGGAAACTTTTCCGGAAGAAACTTTTCCGGTTGTGAATTGTGAATTTTTGTGAATTCAGCATTAAACATTAAATGCAGTTAAATCTTTTTTCTCACCCAGTTCCGCAGAGTGCGCGTAAAAATGAAAAGTTTACCTAAAATAGCTGGCTGACCTGTATTTATTTTTTAAGTCAATTTTATAATTAAAAAAATAAAGGGAGAAATTAAAGGAGAATTTTACGGATATATCAAAGTCAACGACAAAATCCACCCCAAAAACTTCCCCCAAACCCACAAAATTCGCGGGAAACTTTTTTCTAATTAAATCTGGAAGGAAAAAACAAGCTAAAAAGGGAGATATTTAATTCGATTTCATGGATTATATGGCTAAAAAAGAGAAATGACGAGAATGCCTTAGGGAAGCTGCTTTTTCTGCACAAATTGTGAAAAGGATTTAATTGTTGCGTTGCTAACAAGGGGCGAAAATTGGGAAATAGTGAAAATAAATCACAAGGAGAGACAGATTTAAGGCTGGCGGCTCTTGGGAAATCCCCGGATATCCAGAAATGGAACCGATATCCAAACCGAAGATTTTTGGATTATTTCGATTCCGGATAAATCGAGCCGAAACTGTAGTCGGATCTTAATTTTAAATATGTACACTCAGTGTCCTGAGTCTCAGCTCAATCGGCCACGCTCAAATGGATTGCTCCGTACACTCAATAACTAGTTATGCTCCATTCACCGAATTGTATTTCAATTTGTTTTATATATAAATACTTACCAGGACTGTACCCCTTTCGCGACGTGTGCTTTGGCGTTTGAACTGCCAACTATAGTCGAAATTTTTTTTGGTTCCGGGAACAGCTTTGATAGCGTGGAAGGAACATCCTTGCTAGGACGAATAGGGCGAACATCCTTGGTAGGACTCAGTCTCTATATTTACCATTATGAAATATTTTACATTTTATACAGTATGAAATATTTACAGTATAATTTAAAAATCAAAGCTATTATCACTTATTCTCACTGCAAATCCTTAACAAACGGCCATCCATCACTTGTCCATCCCAATCTTTTAATTCCCAATTTGGGCACTCCTTTATTCAATCCATCATAATAATGATAAACAAGAATTATCATATTTTTCTTTCCCGTCCTTTTTATTCTTAAAAGGCTTTGCCCTCCAGGGCCTATTTTTTGGTCATCAGATGAAAGTAAAGGCATTCCACCTCCTTGAAGCATCGGAACATTTTTGTTGTCTAGATAGGGTCCTGATGGACGTTGGGAGCGGCCGACATGAATACTATAGGTGCTTTGAAGACCAGCGCAACATTTACCGAAGGAAACGAATAGATAGTAGAAATTGCCTTGAAGAGAGATTATAATTGAACTATCATAAGGATATACTATCATAGGAACCGCTCACACTATCTTGTTGATAGTGTGAAAGGAACATCCTTGGTAGGGCTAAGGGAACCTCGTTGGTAGTGTGAAAGGAACGTCTTTGTTAGGGCGAAGTGAACATCCTTGGTAGAGTGAGTGGACCTCTTCAATAGTATGATGGGAACATCTTTGCTAGAGTGACGGGAACATAGGGTGAACGGAACCTTTACGTAGTGCGAAAGGAACAACCTTGGTAGGGTGAAGGCAACATCCTTTGTAGAGTGAGAGGAACATCCTTGGTTAGGGCAAAGGCAACATCCTTGGTTGAGTGAGGGGAACATCTTTAGTAGTGTTAAGGGAACATCTTTAGTAGAGTGAAGGAAACATAGGGTGAACGGAACCTTTAGGTAGGGTGAAGGCAACATCCTTTGTAGAGTGAGAGGAACATCCTTGGTTAGGGCAAAGGCAACATCCTTGGTAGAGTGAGGGGAACATGTTTAGTAGTGTTAAGGGAACATCTTTGGTAGGGCAAAGGGAACCTCGTTGGTAGTGTGAAAGGAACATCTTTGGTAGGGAGTTGACACCCTTGTTACAGTGAGGGGAACATATTTGATAGTATGAAGGGAACATCCTTGGTAGAGTGAGGTGAACACCTTTGTTTGGGCGAAGGGAACATTCTTGGTAGAGTAAGGGTAACATCCTTGATAGTAAGAAGGGAACATCTTTGTTAGAGTGAAAGGAACATAGCGTAAACGGAACCTTTAGGTAGGGTGAATGGAACATCTTTTATAGAGTGAGAGGAGCATACTAGGTAAGGCATCGGGAACCTCGTCGGTAGTGTGAAAGGAACATCTTTGGTAGTATGAAGGGACATCCTTGGTAGAGTTAGGGTCACATAGGGTGAACGGAACATTTAGGTAGGGTGAATGGAACATCTTTTATAGAGAGAGAGGAACATCCTTGATAGATAGATTAAATTCTGTACCTCTATGAATAATAAAAGGAGCTTCAACGCCACCATCCCTTGAAGCTAGATGATTTCGTTTTGTGCCTAATTTAATTTTGCCGTTATTTGGAATAAGCTCTAGTTGATAAATGCCATTAGACCATCAAAAATTTTAAAAATATTTTTAAATATTTGAACTTAAGTCATACGAGCCAAAAGTCAGCCACCAACGATTTTCACCATCCACCAATAAATTGGGGTCAATTGCATTAAATTGACTTTCTTCTGTTGAACGAAGCACCTAAATGATTCAACTTTATATTTCTAGCTAAGCTACAATGTCAAGCTCTGAGTTAGTAATCTAACACTATCCCGTTTCTCGAATCATGTCTTGCGAGGGCAATGTGACCATAAAAAAGACAACAACTAAGAAAGATTATCGGATATCTTTCTGAGCCCTGTATAAAGCGGAGAGAACGGATTCATATTCCAGTTCCTATCTAATATATCCATGTCATAGGAGTGCCAGTTTTGCCGTTTTTCGTTTTTTAAAACCCAGTTCCTATTTTACTAACATTTAGGCAAATTAAGGGTCAGAGGTAGGAGGGAGAGTAACAGAACCGGCTCTTAGGGTCGGTTCCAAGCCGACAACAATTTCACTATAAAATTTTTTTACTTGGCCTTGATCCTTCCAGGAGTCTGGCATTCCACTTGTACTTGTTGCCAAGCCAATAATTGAAGTCCTTTTTCCAGTTTTAACTGGAACCTTAAAAATATCCATTAAAAATTCCAAATTTGTTCTCCAACCGCATAGTAAAGCCAATAAACACCTCCATGCATTGAAATGTCTGGAGCCCACAATTCATTCCAATCCTTGGTCAAACCTCTAGCCCATGGAACGCCTTCAGAAAAGGCAAATCCAGCACCTTTCCATTCAAACAAATCTGAGGATATTCTAGCTTCTAAACCATTGTGTGTTGAATAAATGATAAAATTGCCGTTTTTGAGTTGTGCAATGCAGGGATCGTGTAAAGATATATTTCCGTGAATTTTGTGGGTTTGTGCTGGATTAAAAAATTTTTTAAATTGGCTTATGAATAGGCGTTGTGATACTAGTAGATGGGTTATGTCTAGTCCTTGTCCACCTCGTTAAATGTTAATACGAAATTCCAAGCACCGGTTAAGGAGTTTCTCTCTTACATAATGTAAGAAAGTAAGGAGATCCACCAGGTTACCATTTAAAACTTAATGGGTAAGATCTATTAAAAGAGAAGGTGAAGCAGCGCCCCAATGGCTACGTGGTGCTGAAAACGAAAAGCAATACTTTACAAGAGGTCGCAGGATCAGGGCTGCCAGGAGCTTTTACTCCGTGGTAAAAAATTTTTGTGCTATCTTGAAAGGTTGTTGTTCAAAATAATATTCGAAATCTGCGGCTCAGGCAAATTCAATACTAGGGTTGTTCCCTGAAGGGGGGAGGAGGAGGGCATGGGGAAAATTTTCGGACAGGGAAGGGGGCGTGACGTGAAGAAATTTTTCTTTCGTCACGGGGTGGGGAGGAGAGAGGGGGGGGGGTGGGTACAGTGGGTACAATACCCACTGATTTTCTGAAACTCCCACCTTTTCACATCCATACTTACCTTTAATTAAATAATTCGTTAATGAAGGAGGTAAATTAAACTTCTTCTTCTCCCAAAGTCCAACTACTTTATTATCCTTTTTAGTTAACTCGCTAGCCCCCAACTTTGAAATTCCACAAGACGAGGCTAACAACGAGGAAATAAACAAAGTTTTTAAACAATTGCCCGATTTGTTCCTTCCTCCTTCAATAGAATAATTGAGTAAATTAATAAATATAATTAATAAAAAATATTTTTTGAAGGGCATTTTTAAGTAGGGCTCTGATAAATCCCCTTTTTTTATAAATCTTTTGTATAGCTTACATCATTTTGCACTCATTTTGCCCTTTAAGTCTTTCAATTTTAAAATTATTTTCACTTATAATGCTAAGGGAAAGGGCAAAGGAAGGGCAAAAAATAGACGTAATTATGTAATTATTTCAAAAATGTCATAGTTTGTAAAAAGTGTAATTTGTAGTCTGATAAGTAGTCTGATATTGTCTTGAAATAAGAGATTCTCAATAAGGGAGATTCTCTATAAGGAGGTCCCCAAGAATGAGATAATATGACTGTCCTGCAATAAAGGTCGAACCCCCGATTAGTTGTTTCCAATGCGGTGGGCCCAAACCCCAGAATAATGGAGGCCAAACCCCAGAATAACGGAATAAGGGAGGGATTATGCCCAGAAATTCTCAAGAGGAACCAAAGGGTTGATCAGACCCTAGGTTTATCTCCCTCACCGGACACACACAAAATAACATTAATAACCTTGACCATTACAAAGCAGAAACATCTCTCTGAGCTCTTTCAGACATATTTTCCCTTATAAAGCCAAGGGAAAGGGCATAGGAAGGGCAAAAAATAGACGTAATTATGTAATTATTTCAAAAATGTTATAGTTTGTAAATTTTTAAACAAGTGTAATTTGTAGTGTGTTATGTAGTTTGGTATTGCCTTGATAAAAAAATTATCAAAAGATCCCCAAAAATGAGATTTCCAAGAATGAGATAATATGACTGTCTTGCAGAAACGCCTCCCTCAGCTCTTTTTCTGACACAGCTCCAATTTAAGTGTACACCTCAGTACAATTGGGCTCAGTTCAGGCACGAGCCCTATTATGAGTCTATGATTATTTTTTATTCTTGGTATCATTGGATAGAGAATTCAATACCCACTGATTAAAAGTACTACAAAATTACCAAAAAATCAGGGGGTCCAGACTTAACTATCCAGACTGAAGCATTAGGGTTAGAGGCCAGGTTCGGTTCGAAAGATCGAATGGGCTCGAATTTTGGCCCGAAAAAGACACGAATAAAAATGAAGTCGATAAAAATGAAGCCAAAAAATGAGTCGAACATAGACCCAATTCGGAAACCCCAACCCTAATTAGCATTGATGATAGGTTAATAAAAATTTTTTAAAGATTTATACATCTAATTTTTAAAAATAATTAATGTCGATTAATAAAAAATTTAGTCTCTTTCAATCTTTAACTTTTGAAGAATCTCCAGAATGGAAAGTTCCAAGAATAGGTAGATGGCCCCATTCCTGTTCCATGCGCACCTATATGTTGTCCTAAAATTTTTTTAATTTTTAAAAATTTTTAAAAATTGTTTAACCAGAAAAAAGATCATATTGCGGTGCTGCATTAATAAGTAGAATTATTGTGAAGAAAAATAAGGCAATAATTATTGGATAATTCATTTTTAAAGTAAACTAAACGCATAAGATGTCATTTTGCCGGTGGGCGGGGAGAACTGTCCAAAGGATATCTCCATTCTCATATGGTTCAGATTGAGAAAAAATCAGGGGATTAGGTTTCAGTCAAACCTACTCATCCCTGATATGGTGTTGCGACAATTGAGGATACGCACTTGAGGATATGACAAATGGGGACGACAATTGATTATAAAGAAAAGAGGGTTTTTGATCCTTAATCTTATGAAATTCAAAAAAGTTCGCCAGCGCGCTGAAAAGAGATGATTTTTTCTTTTATGGTCTTTCAACTAGGGGTCTTACAAGTTTTTTTATTTTTGATTTCTATCCTCATTTGTCATATCCTCAAGTGCGTATCCTCAATTGTCGTACAGCCCCTGATATACCCTGATACACTCTTATATTCGACCTATCGACTCCACTTATCGACTTGTAAAAAACGGAAATTGCGGGGATACATAACGCATTTTGATGTTAAAAGTTCGTTTTATATATTAATTATTGCGTCATCCAAACTCAAACTTTATTTGACCTTTTTAAATTAAAATTTAATTGAATAAGGGTGTTAACGGGTAGTGAGAGTGTTTTATTAAATTTAATAGGTTGTTCCCTTTGAAGGTGTCCCTATTATTTGATAAAATATTTTTTTCAATTTTTAAATTTGAAGAAATTAAACTTTTGTTTATTATTGTTAATTTAAGAGCAAATCACGAGTGTCTTTTTGTTTTTAATTAAATTTTGTTTTGAACTTATGAAAGTGTAAACAATTAATTTTTTAAATTTTATTTTATATAATACACAATGGCAAGTATTTGGCTGAATCGAAAAAAAATAAAAAAAATTTCAAAAAAAAAATTTTTGAAAAAAATTTTCTGAAAAAATTTTTTGAAAAAAATTTCGAAAAAAATTTTGAAAAAAATTTCGGAAAAAATTTCAAAAAAAAATAAAAAAAAATTTTTTTTAAAAAAATTCAAAAAAATTTTTAGAAAAAATTTTTGCCAGGGTTAAGAAAATTTTTTGAAAAAATTCCAAAAAATTATAAGGAAAATTTTTTGAAAAAATTCGAAAAAAATTTTCTGAAAAAAATTTTACCAGAAAAAAAATTTCGAAAAAAATTTCGGAAAAAAATTTTTTCCTGGCAAGAAAATTAAATTTTTAATTTGGCACTTTCTTTGTTTAAAAATAAATTTATTAAAATTAATTAAAATTTTCTACAGTATCGTCTATTTTCATTTTCTTTTCCGGCGCCGAAACGTCCATATTTACACTCTCCATTAGTTTTTCTGTTTCCCCCGTTATTGCTGGGGGAGTTGAAATTAATTCTGATGTTTGTTTTAAATTCTGATTTTCTTCAATGGGAACCAGAAAACTTGTTTCTTGTTCGTCATAATGTTGTTGTTGTTCTGACGCAAAATTAAATTGTTGTGTTGTTTTCCCATTTTCATTGGAGACAGGCACACAAACATTTGAGGGGATGTTTTGGGAAACACAAACATTTGTTGTCGACAAACCAGAATTATTTAAAGAAACATTTGGGATGTTTGGAGGAGCACAAACATTTTCAGAATTTGTTGTTGTCAGAACAACAGAAACATTGTTTTTGTCAAAACATGATGTTTGTTTTAAATTCTGATAAACATTTTCAGAATTTGTTGTCACAACATTGTTTTTGTCAAAACTTGATGTTTGTTTTAAATTCTGGTATTGTTTTTGTGAAAATTCTGAAATGTTTTCCTCATGTTTTGATTGTTTGTGTTGTTGTGAATGTTTTTGTTGATATTCTGATTTGTTTTCCTCTTCTTTTTGTTGATGTTTTTGTTGAGTTATTTGATGTTTTTGTAAATTCTCATGTTTTTGTAAACTTTCATGTTTTTGTTGTTGTTCGTTTATTATAGCAACCAAGTTTTGTTGTTGTTGTTGGCGCTCTGCTGTGGCTAAGGCTGTTGCGATGGCTCTTGAAGAAGTTGAGGCGCCACCTGAAAAAATTTTTTTGAAAATTTTCAAAAAATTTGTGCTAACGTCCTCTTCCCCGTCCTCCAATCTTTCCACCACCCCGTTGACCTCCCCGTCCCTTTGTTGTTGTTCGCCTAATAGCTGGAGGAGTACTTGGCATAGGCAACATATCTCCATGCATTGAAGAAGAGGAAAAATTGTTGTTCAGATTGTGATGGGGGTGGTGGTGATGGTGATTGTGATGAATACAATTGGTATTTCCGAACATGTTGTTGTTTGTTAGCATTTGGTGTTGTTGTTCGAAATAGGCCATGCCTTAAAGGAAAATTGATTAAGCTTGATTATTTCTACTATGTATAAGTCCATCTAGATTTCCCACTGAGAGGAACATTAAGTTAAAGTGAGAGGAACAACACACACTAAGGTAAAGTGAAAGAGACATTGAAAGGTTTCCTTCACACTGAAGTAGAGTGAAGGGAACATTAACGGTAGTGTTTCTTTCACATTAAAGTAGAGTGAAAGGAACAATAAAGGTTCCCTTCACATTAAGGTAAATGTAAGGAACATTAAGGGTTCCAATTACACTATAGTAGAGTGAAGGGAACATCAAGCTAGGGGAATTTGTTCCCTTCACATTAAGATCAAGTGAAAGGAACATTAAGGTTCCCTTCACATTAAGGTAAGGTGAAAGGAACTTTAAAGGTTCCCTTCACACTGAACTAGAGTGAAAGGAACATTAAAAGTGTTCCCTTCACATAAAGGTAAAGTGAAAGAAAATCAAGGTATTGTTTCCTTCATACTAAGGTAAAGTGAAAGGAACATAAAGGAGAATGTTCCCTTCACATTAAGGTAGAGTGAAAGGAACGTTAAGGAGAATGTTCCATTCACAGTAAGTGCATTGGTATATAAAATTGTTTTACTATTCATTTGATGCCCAGAATGTTCCAAATGGCAGCAGCCAGGTGTGTGTTGTATTGAAGGGGTTGGTGGCGCATCCATACACACTGCTTCGTATAAACCTCTATTTTTGTAGTAGCTATGGACTATTGAAGGGAAGTTATTCTGAAAAAATTAATGAGGCTTTAAGATATAATTAATAGGAAAATTAATGAAGTATGGCTAGTTGATTTAAAGAAAAATCAACGTAGAGCCGACATTTGCTAACTAGGGTTGGCGGAACCTGAACAGGTCTGGCCGCGGAAATATTTTTTCCAAGTTTGTCTACCCTGATTCTAAGAAATCTTCGGATATCCTGTATCCTTTTTGCTCCGGATATCACAACCTTATTGCCGACATCTGTCCTGTCGTTGGTTCTGTATAATCCCAATCGGTTTGTTTAGTTTTGTCCGTTAATGCCGGTGTTCGCAAATGTCGGAAAGTCAAAAAAATTCCCAAAAATTTTTTTGATTACCAAGCAAAATTCCCCATTTCCACAAGTCTCCAACATCTGATTTTGCCCAGAAGAAGAAGCTTGAACATCACCTACATCCCCGCCATTGTTATCCCCTCTATTTATTTCTGTTGAATTGTGTTGCAAAGCTGTAGCAAGTATAGGCTCCATTTTGGCGTGTGTTTGTAATAAATGTTCAAGCATATTAATATATTCTATAGCTCCTCTAAGTATTTCTACCTTAATAGAATTTTTAATTTAGAAAAATTTTTTGGGATTTTTTTGAAATTTTTTGAAATTTTCAGGTGTCATAAAACATTATTTTGAACGGCTATACCCAGGATCAGTGAAGGGGATGTTCCATTCACACTAGCAATGCTTCACCTCTTACACCAAAGATTCACCTTTAATGTTCCCTTCACCCTACTAATGTTCCCTTCACCCTACTAATGTTCCCTTCACACTACTAGTGTCCCTTCACACTACTTCCCTTCACACTACATATATCCCCTTCACCCTACTAATGTTCCCTACACCCTACTAATGTTCCCTTTACCCTACTAATGCTCTATCAACACTCCTAAAGATGCTCCCCTCACACTGGGTTAATGTTTAAGGAACATTTTTTTATTAATAAAAAATAAATTGTGTTTACTTTTGATACCTTCGGCAACCGCTGGTGTGGATTTGGACATGTACGCGCCTTAACTACCTCAAAGGCATCCTAATAAAAATTTATTTTATTTTTCCAAAAAATTCCCTCTTACATTGACTTTGCGTAGGCGACGTCTCTCACGCATTGTTGCAGCCTTACGCCTTTCCACCGAATATTTAGCTGAAAATAAAGTTTCTGTGGGGTTGAAAATTATTGAAAATCAAGAAATTTTCGAAAAATTCTTAAAAATTTTTTAGAAATTTTTTAGGCCTAGAAAATTTTTCCATTTTTTTAAATTTTAGGCCTAGTAAAATTTTAATTTTTATAAATTCTTTAGGCCTAGAAAAATTTTTTGAAAATTTTTTTCAAAGATTTTTCAGGCCTAGAAAAAATTTTTGAGAAAATTTTTTTGAAAATTTTCTAAGCTTAGAAAATTTTTGAAATTTTTCTTCGAAAACTTTCCAGGCCAAGAAAAGTTTAAAAATTTTTTGAAAATTATTTAAGCTTAGAAAATTTTTAAAATTTTTTTTGAAATTTCTGAAAATTCCCCACTCTTTTTAGTTCCATGTCCATGAATTATATTTATTGAAGTATTTCCTCCTCCGACGATTACACCCTCACTATTAGGAATATTTGATGTATTAGGATCATAAGCAGATGAGGAGGGTATTTGTTGCTGTTGTAATGCTGCGGATTTATTTGCTAAATTAGCTGCTTTGGAAGCATTTGGAACTCGTCTTTTTGGCTCACCTAAAAAAGGAAAAAGATATAGTTTTCAATTTTAGAGACTCGGGAGTGTTGATTCAAAAACGTCGTGAATTCCCAATTTCCGTGAATCGGGAAGGTAGGATCCCTAATAAGGACATACCTAGCAAGAGTATAAGAAAGAATTGACTACTGTATTCTCTTCAACAAAAATTTGGGGAGCGCTATTTGTGGACCGACATTTGTGGATACCCACCAAATCGTGTTTTATGTAGCTTTATAAGAAAATTTTTATAAGATCCATGAAACACAAGGACATAAAGAATGAATTGGAGATTTCGGAAATAGAGATTCATAACCCAAAAAAAGTTGAAAATTCCCGATGTTCATGTATCGGGATGGATAGTTCTCTAATAAAGACTATATGATCAAAGAATGCCCGTTTGTTCCAAGTTCAATAATTTGTTCCAAGTTCAAAAAGTTTGAGCTCATAGTACAGTGAGCTTATAGCACTCATTAAGGGAGAAGTGAGCCTCAATAGAAAAGATCCTCTCCTTTCTACATAGGAGAGTGTCATTGGTGAGAGGGTCATTCTTATTAGGGAGAAGCCCTTTAAAAGGCCTACCTTTAACAGGTCTAATAGTTGTAGTTGTATTCGAGTTGTTCGAATTCCTAGAATTCCCTCCAGGCGTGTTTTGACGCCTTAAATGGGCATTATTATTAATATTATTTGTTTGTTGTTGTTCTTGTTGGGGATGTGAAGATTGGGGAGGGGGAGGTCTTTGGATCAAATTTGAATTATTATTAGAAGTTTGGTGGGGTTGGACAATAGCTGGGATTAATTCGGTTAGGCGTCCATTTTGTTGGTGAATTTGGTGAACAAAGTCGGCTGTGGGTGAGGGGGAGCTAAAAAATTTTTGAAAATTTTTTGAAATTTTTTTGGAATTTTTGAAATTTTTTTTTGAAATTTTTTTTGAAAATTCTTTGAAATTTTTGAAAATTTTTTGAAAATTTTTTGTGAATTTTTTTGAAATTTTTAAAAAATTTTTAAAAAATTTTTGAAAATTTTTTGAAAATTTTTTGTGAATTTTTTTGAAATTTTTAAAATTTTTGAAAATTTTTTGAAAATTTTTTGTGAATTTTTTTGAAATTTTTGAAAATTTTTTGGAAATTTTTTGGAAATTTTTGAAAATTTTTGAAATTTTTTGAAAAATTTTGAAAATTTTTTTGAAAACTTTTTTGAAATCTTTTCTTAAATTTTTGAAAATTTTTTGAAAATTTTTTGAAATTTTTTGGAAATTTTTGAAAAATTTCTGAAATTTTTCAAAAATTTTTAAAAAAATTTTTGAAAATTTTTAAATGGAAAAAATTTTAGGCTAAAAAATTCAATTTTCAAATAAAAATATTGCCTTCTCTGTTGCATTAGATGCTGGTGAAGTATAGACGTTCCAACCCCATTTATCCCTCCCCCTGTTTGTTGTTGGAGAGCACTACTTAACAGCATTGTTGGAGCTGCTGAGAATGAGCCTAGAGAGGTGCCACCACCTCCAAAATCTGAGGGATTTTAAGAAAATTTTTTAAATATAGATAGTCTTAGTTACCCAAATAGCCTGTAGGTCCCACTGTAGCATACGCCGGTGTGGCAGACTGTGCTGGTCCAAGGCCGTCATAATAACCTCCGGTTGCCTGGTAACGATAGAGTTGGTCATAAGCTGGGGGACCTCCTAAAAAAGATAATTTAGACATGGGTAATTAAGGGAAGATTTAGGCTTGGAAGCCTCTTTGAGTTACCATATAACTTAGGTATTGGAAAAAAGGAGATTTAGACTTAGTTCCATAGTGAATGAGAGATGTATGAGAGTCCTTTTCTCTTCAAAAGAAAATTAGAAAGTGTCCCGGTTGTGGTTTTTTGCACCTTTGTGAACGGTAACCTTTGTGAAAGACATTTATAAAAATGAGAGGTATCAGAGTCCTCCTCTGTCGAAGCTAGAAAGAGTCCAAAAAATAGCCACTATAACTCAAATCGAAAGCAGGAATTTCCGGTTCTCTTGGCCCCTGTTTCCTACAAGCTCCGTTTCCCGTTTCCCAACCTTGGGGATCGGAAACCTCGATAAAAGGCATTAATGTTATGAATGAGAGAAGTGTCAGAGTCCTCCTCTCTCTCAAGTACAATTTAGAAATAGGGCCCGGTCCCTGTTTTCTACAAGTTCTTCAATTTCTCGCTTCCTAACCTCGCGGGAAACGGGAGTCGTTATTAAAGACCTTTATGAAAGAGAGAGGGCCTGTGTCATCACTTCTCTTCAGTATGAGTTAGAGCTTCGGTCCCGGTCCTTTACATGTGTTCCCATTCCCTTTTCCATCCTCTCCTCTCTTTCAAACTTCCTTTCCATACTCTTTCAACCCTACTCCATGCTTCTCATTCGTTTCTCTCTCTCACTCAATTATATGTTAGAAAGAAGGCCGGTATAAGGGCCCGGTCCCGGCCCTTCACAAGTCTTCTATGTCCCACCCATCCTCTTCCTTTCTAACTTCCTTTCCATACTCTTCTAACCCTCCTTCATGCTTCCCATTCGTTAGAACCATCAAAAACAAAAATCTTCCCTTCCCCTTCCATGCAAACTCACCAGCAATAACAGTATAATCCATTGGTGAATTAGCCACAGATGACGCTGAAAAAGCCGTCAGTGTTGCCAAAGTCCCTCCAACATCCAAAGAAGCAGCTGTCAATTGTTGCTGTGTTGAAAGACCGAAAACAGGGTCGTACTCTAAAAGGTTGGAATGGGCGTGATGATGTTGGCCATTCATTGGATAAATCTGAGTCTATTTAATTATAATATTTAATTTAAATATTGTTAGGGGATTTTTGGCAATTTAATTCATAATTAAATTTTCACGCTTTTTTCCAGACAAACTCGGTATTCATTTACTCCTCTTTTTGAAGTCATTCTAACTTTCAAAATTCTAAAAATCCCAAAAAAAATTTTTTTCTCCTAAGCTTTCCATTATCATTTCAAGTCTAGAAATTGAACCGATGGATGTGACCAGAGATGAAACGGGTTACCCGATACCCGGCTTTTTTCGACCCGAAATCCAAAACCTGATCCGAAGAGAATTTTAGAACCCGATCCAAAATCCGACCCTATAAATTCTTTCTAAAACCGAATCCAAGATCCAAAATCCGATCAAGTTTTTTTCAACCCGTCCTATCCCTGATATGAACAGGCCTTTGGAACTTTATATAATTTCTCTTTCCGAATATAAGCATAGTAAGCTTAAAGAGACAACCCAGAACTCCCTTAAATTAAGTTCGGTATAATTTTACGGTCCGAATCGGAACTTTAGACAGCTCTGTCTATATATCCCCTCAAAGGATCTACCCGGTCCCTTTCCAAAATCAAGTATCTATTTTCAATATCGGCTTAAATCATCATATCTTTCCCGCATCTAACCTAATGTTTTACCTTAAAATCAGAGCTATGTCAAAGTTTCGATTTTCGATTCTCGGAATTTTTTCGTCCATTTTCAGATCTCTCTCAATTTTAATTTACCGAAATTCTATGAGTTTTAGCTTCGATCTAGGTCACTCAAAATATAACCGAATAAAACTCCCCTATCAGGCAGCTTCCCTAACGAATGGCCAAACAAATTTAAAAAATCCTGGCTAAAACAAGAGATATCCAAATTTTCTATCGTTTATAATCCACTTAACTATACTTAAACAATCCCAAATTCTCTTTCTTATCCAACTTTGTATATGTGAAATTAAAAGTGGGATCTTTAAACAAAATCCTTTTTACTTAAACACCCCGTTACTAGTGTTGGAAGCGGTACGGTCCGAAAGATTGAGTCGGGCATCGAATTTTGCCCAGAAAAAGGACTCGGTCGGGTTGGCCGATTAGAATGACTTGAACGTTGGCCCGACTCGAAAACCCCAAACCCTACCCTTACCCAGTAGCCTAACACCCTTCAAAAACAATAGTCTAAAAGAAAGGGGTATTCAAATTTGAGGGTATTAAGACTGCGGTCCGAGTGTCTCTCTTCTACCCTATTTTTTAAATTTGCAACATTTTTAACCTCTAATTTTTCCAAATTTTTTCTGCCAGTTGCCCACCCTCAAAATTTAATAAAATTTTCTTTTAAATGACCACCTGGTTTCCCTGTCCAAAAAATTAATTTCTGTGTTGTTTTTTCAAGTTCAACAGCTGATATATTTAACTAAGCCCCGTTCGTTATCAAAAATAGCCAATTGCCATATTTTTAAGGCCAATTGCCAAGTGTGGTCTCTGACCAAAAAAATTTTTTTTGCTGCAAATTTTATAAAATTGTATTTATTTTTGGCAGCTGCCACGGACACCTTCTTCCTCTCCTCTCTCAAAAAATAGGAGTTGATGTCGTTTTTAACAAAGGCGGCACAATTCACAATTGTTTCGTCTTGTCGCACAGCTGCGTGACCGTTTATGGCCAATTGTCTTTTAATATAAAAATGAGATTTTAGGGGATTTGAGGGGACAAAAGTGAGGAAATGAAGGAGCAAAAGGTGAAAATCTTTAAATGAGAGGGGATAAAAATTTTTTGGGAAGCCAAACTTTGTGGACAACAATTGTGCCCCGTCAGGTAAACAAGGGGCATATTTTCTTAAATTTTATTAGGAGTAATAAACAAAGGGGAAGGACGTAGATAAAGGTAAATAGGAACAGAATGAAATAAAATAATCACAAATGCCGAAGGAAAAAGGATGGGAAGGAAGCAAATGGCCATAAGTTCCTTACACACTAGTAGGTAGTGTGTAGGGAACAAGAGGTAGGGCCTAGTGGGTGATTGAATATTAGATTGCCTGAGGGGATGTATTATCCAGTAGGATTAGTCGGATTAATAAGGTGATCTAGAGAGAGGGAAAGGACAGAGAAATGCCGTGTGTTCTCTACACACTAGTAGGTAGTGTGAAGGGAACAAGAGGTAGGCTTAGTGGGTGATTGAATATTAGATTGCCTGAGGGGATGTATTTTTGAAGGGCCCCCTTTTCTAGTCTTAATCCCCCTCCATCTTTTTAATAAACTAAAGCTTCTTCCTCCTACCCTTCTTTTAAAGACATTGGATACTCTCTCTCTCAATAAATTTTTGATGAGCCGACAATTGGCCTTCCTCCTACACCTGATTAGTTAAAAATAAGAGAGGATGAGAAGAGATTTTTTTCCCTTTGATGTAAGCAGAGTTTTGAGGATTTTTTTGACCAAAAGAAGTTGAAAGGAGTAGAGGAGGAACGTGGGCAGTAAAGTTATTATTAAAGAGTGGGCTGCAACTTGAGGAGGCTTAAAAGGCTAGGAGAGGAAGTTAACTAACAAATAAGCTAAACAAAAGGAATTTGGGGCAATAGGAGGTTGAGTTTAAGAGGAAGAAAACAGGGATTAGTAAGGTGATTTAAAGCTATATATAAGGGAAGGAAGAGGAAGGGAAGGAGAAGGAAGAGGAAGAAGGAGAGGAGGGAAGAGGGAGAAGAAGGGAAGAGGAGAAGAAGACAAAAAGAAGATTGATGAGGAAGTAGAGGAAGACGAAAAAATTTGGAGAAAATTTGAAGAAAATTATAAAGAGAAACAAAAATAACTCGTGTTCCCTACGCACTACCCTCCGTGTTCCCTTCACTCTACTAGAAGAATTTTGAAGAGATTGAAGGGAAATTGAAGAGAATTTTATAAAATAGTCCAGGAAGAGTAGAGAGACAAAAACAACACGTTTTCCCTACGTCAACCTTTTTTCCCTTACGCACCTCGTGTTCCCTTCACCCTACCCCTAGTGCGTAGGGAACAAAAATAAAAATTAAAGAACAACTGTTATAAAATTTGCAAAAAAAGAGAATGTGAGCCTTCTAGTCCATATTATTTTTATTTTTCTACTGTGGCCCCTCCCCTCCCATTTCTCCTCTTAATTTCATTATTTGCTAGGCCTATCTCTTTTATTTAAAAAATTTTTTCTTCCTTCCTTTTGGCCGCAAATCACCAACAAAATAAAAAATTATGTTCAATCCACATCCTTCATTTTCCCTCTTTTTTCATCCAATTTTACTTTACTACAAAATTTTTTTTCTTTTTGAAATACTTCCTCCTCTTAGCTCACTCTTCCTTTCCTCTCCTCCGATCCCTCTCCTCCGATCCCTCTGGCAACACTTTACAACAACACCGTTATTGAAGGATAGGCAGAAGCTAAATGTACTAGTTTTTTTCTTCCTCTTCCTTGTCATTCTTTTTTTCTTTCAATATCTTCCTTCAAATAATTTTTAAAAAATTACCTTTTTTCTCTTTTAATACCCTTCATTCACACTATAACTCGTGTTCCCTTCGCACTACCACTTAAGTTCTTTTCACACTACCACTTAAGTTCTCTTCACACTACTACTCAGGTTCCCTTCACACTACCCCTTAGTTCCCTTCACACTACCACTCGTGTTCCCTTCACACTACAACTTTAGTTCCCTTCACACTACCACTTAATTTTAAAAACATCAAAAAATTTTTCCAGTAAATAATCATTCATCTTAAGCATAATTTTTTACAATAATTGAGGAACTAAATTTTTAACGATAAGTTATCAAAAATCGACAATTTTGGGACATTGTTGTCCGCAACTCTTTTTTCTGCCCAAAAAGTCCGCAAATTTTTTGCGGACTTTTTTGTCTGCAAATTTTATGCGGATTTTTTTTTGTCCGCAAAATTTTTGCGGACTTTTTTTGTCTGCAAATTTTATGCGGATTTTTTTTGTCCGCAAATTTTTTGCGGATTTTGTAATAATAAATTCCAGATAGTATTTAAAAATCGTGTTAGCAAAATTATAAACAAAAATAGACCAAGTTTAGATAATAAATCCTTTTTAAAAATTTTGGGACTTTTCCTTCACCTAAATAAATAAACAATGTTTATTTTGTACCAAATTTTTTACAAATACTTTTGCCAAAATTCTCAATAATTTTAAAATGTGAAAATTATCTCTTTTTTGAATTTTAAGTTGAAATTTTTATTAAATTTTTTTCGATTTTTGGGCATTTCGAGATATCGACATTTTAACATATCGACACTTCTATCTTGGACATTTTTAAATTTGAACATTTTGACATATGGACATTGAGAGCAAAAATATTTTTGTAACTAGCGACTGGCAAAAGTCGATTTTGCAGGACCCTAACCCGGATTATGGATTTGTAACTTGAACCAAACCTCATCCGGCCGGATTTTTCCGGATTAATCCGGTCCGGAAAAAATCCGGTGATCGCGAAAAAACACCTAATTTTGGACCCAGACTCTGTAAAAATCAGTCCGGATCCAGTCCGATGCTGGTCACTAAATAAACTTAGAGAAATTTTTTTCGATTTTTGGGCATTTCGAGATATGGGTATTTTGAAATATTACCATTTTGAAATTTTGACAAAAAATATTTTTTTAATTTTTTTTCAGGATTATTACACAAATCCAAATAAATATTACTCCTCTCTTTACAACAAAATCTACACTAAAAATTAGGCAGGCACCGAAATCCACGGGAATATCAATCACTCTATTAGCGGAATAGTTGTGGTTTTCCACTATTTTTAATTGATGGATTTATTTTTTTAGTTTTGTTAGAGATTACAACAAGATTTTTTAGAAAAGTTTTATGGCTTTTAATATGTAGTAGGAAATATTATAAAAAAATTTTATTTAATAAAAATCGGCAAAAATTGTCCGCAAAATATTTGCGGACAACAATTTTTCTACTATGAAATACTGTAAGGCAGGGATGTCACGGGTCGACGATTGCGGGTTTGCGGGTTGAGATTTTTCTCATTTTTTTATATATGGAATTAATTTGAAAAAGTGTATATGGAGTAGGTTAAAAAGACCCCTGAGCTTTTATTTTTGGTCCAATTTTCAAATAATTTTCTATTTGTATAGCTTTATGGTTGACAGAAAACTGCCAAGAATTGGTCAAAAAATTTTAACTTCTGTTCAAAAATCAAAAAAAAAATCATAAAAATTTGACAAAAATTACTCCGTATACACTTTTTCAATTAATTTCAGATATAAGAAAATGGGCAATATTACAAACCCGCAATCGTCGACCATTGACATCCCTAGTGGGTAAGGTTGGCGGTTCCTGTGAAATCTTCGGCTATCCGGAGCCGGAACCGATAACCAAACAGAAAATTTTCAGTTTTCCGGTCTTTTTTCGGTTTCGGATAACCGGAACCGCCAACCGCAGTCGTGGGGCTCAGTTTCTTATATATGAAATTAATTTGAAAAAGTATATACGGAGTAATCACATCAAAAAAATTTTTTTATTTGTTGTAATTGTTTAAAAATAAAATATACAATATTGCCAGAAGTGGAAAAATGATAAAAAGGAAAACCGCTTTAATTAAATAAAAAAATGGAAAATAAAAAAAATAGAAATTTAAAAATCAGAATTTTCTCTAAAAATCAGAATTTATAAAAAATCAGAATGTTTAAAAATCAGAGTCTTTAAAAATCAGAATTTTTGGTAATCAGAATTTTTTTAAATCAGAATTTTTAAAAATCAGAATCTTTAAAAATCAGAATTTTTGGTAATCAGAATTTTTTAAATCAGAATTTTTAAAAATCAGAATCTTTAAAATCAGAATCTTTAAATCAGAATCTTTAAAATCAGAATTTTAAAGATCAGAATTTAAAAATCAGAATTTTTAAATCAGAATTTATTAAAAATCAGAATCTTTAAAAATCAGAATCTTTAAAAATCAGAATCTTTAAAAATCAGAATCTTTAAAATCAGAATTTTAAAGATCAGAATTTAAAAAATCAGAATTTTTCCAAAAATCAGAATTTCTAAAAATAGAATTAAAAAATCAGAATTTTTTGATCAGAATTTGTCAACTACGAGCAATTAATCGACATTTAAATGGTTGTGGAGCACACTGAAAAATCAGAAAAAAGTCAGAATTATCTATAAAAATTGAATTTACAGTTAATCCATATATTCTTTTAGTAGAAGGAAGTGTGTCCTCACTTTCAGGGAGAAATTTAAAATTTTTTATTAGATAGGCAAAGATAAAGAAGAGCTCAGCACGTGCCAAACTCTCTCCAAGACATTGCCTGATTAAAATTAAAAATTAATTCTGAAAGGGAAATAAATAAATTCAGAATAATTAATAATCAGAATATTCAAAAATCATAAGTAAAAAAATTTCAAAAATCAGAATTAAAAAAATCAGAATCTTAAAAATCAGAATTTCTAAAAATCAAAATCAGAATTTAAAAAATCAGAAGTATTGAAATTCAGAATTATTAAAAATCAGAATTTTCAAAAATCAGAATTTTTTTAAAAACCAGAATTATAAACCAGAATTATTAACCATCAGAATTTTCAAAAATCAGAAGTATTTGAAACAATTTTTAAAAATCAGAATTTCTAAAAATCAGAATTTTTCAAAAACCAGAATTTTAAAAATCAGAAGTTCAAAAATCAGAATTTCATAAATTAAAAATCAGAATTTATAATAATCAGAATTTTTAGAAAACAGAATATTTTAAAATCAGAAATTTTAAAATCAGAATTACCGTTTCCCAATAGAAAAAGGCAAAAACGCGTCAACCTTCTTAAGCATTAATTCCCCAAATTTATTAATTTCAATAAAACGTTCTGGATTAAATTTTTCTGGCTCATAAAAATAGGCAGAGTCATTCATTGTTACTTTAAATTTTTTAAAATTAAAAATTGGAATTTTTTTATTTACTTGAAATTTGGGGCAAAACCATTGTGCCAGCTTTAAAATGGAAGTTGTCTACTTGAATATCCTCAAGGCATGTACGTAATAAATTTATGGGTAGAATGTTGGCGATACGTTGGATTTCCTGAATTTTTATGAAAATTCTTTGATTTTTTTTCAGAATTTTTTCAAAATCAGAATTTTTTTAAATCAGAATTTTTTTTCAAAATCAGAATTTTTTTAAATCAGAATTTTTTAAATCAGAATTTTTTCAAAATCAAAATTTTTTTAAATCAGAATTTTTTCAAAATCAGAATTTTTTTCAAAATCAGAATTTTTTTTTGAATCAGAATTTTTTCAAAATCAGAATTTTTTTCAAAATCAGAATTTTTTTCAAAATCAGAATTTTTTTTAAATCAGAATTATTTTCAGAATCAGAATTTTTTTCAGAATTTTTTTTCAGAATCAGAATTTTTTCAAAATCAGAATTTTTTTTAAATCAGAATTTTTTTCAGAATTTTTTTTCAGAATTAGAATTTTTTTAAAAATCAGAATTTTTTTAATTCAGATTTTTTTAAATCAGAATTTTTTCAAAATCAGAATTTTTTCGAAATCAGAATTTTTTTTCAAAATAAGTATTTTTTCTCAGAATTTTTTTTCTGATTTTTTCAGAAGTTTGAAAAATTTTATCATAATTTTTAAAAATTCTTCTCACACATATCGTAGCACTCAAATAGACCAATTTATTCCTATCCTTCAACTCAGGCTCGTTCTGCCCCAATTTTGAATTAATTTCCTCAAAGCACCTTTCTTGTACTTGAGGGTGTAAAATCAAAAGAATTAGGCCTTAAATTTAATTTTAATATTTTAATTTAATTTTAACCCCATTTTGTAGTGGTTACGGTAGTTTCGCTTCCGGCAAAGAATAAATCCAGCAGGAGCATTTTTAATTGTTTCTCACTTAAAAATTAATTTTTTCATTAATTTAAGTGAAAATAAGAGGAATTTAAACCAGAATAATTTTTAAAAAATATCAGAATTTTAAATATTCAGAATTTTTAAATAATCAGAATTATTATTTATAGTATTCTGACGTATCAGAATTAATAATTCTGGTTTTTCATTTTTATTAAAAGTTAAATTAATTCTGTTAAATAAAATCAGAATTAATGTCTGAAATAAACACAAAAATCAGAATTTTAATAATTCAGAATTAATAAAAAAATCAGAATTAAAAAATCAGAAGAAAATAGCATTAATAAATCTAATTTTTAAATTTTCAGAATTATTAACTATACTATTCTGATGTTTAATTACGTATCAGAATTATTAATTTAAATGTATTTTTATTAAAAGTAGAAGTAATTCTGTTAAATAAATCAGAATAAATAATTCTGATACATAAATTAGTAAAATCAGAAGTTTAATAATTCAGAATTTATAATAAAAAATCAGAATTAAATATTCTGATCTATTAGAATAAATCAGAATTGTGTTATAATATGATCAGAATTGTGTTATAATAAAATCAGAATTAATAATTCTGATCTATTATAATAAAATCAGAATTGTATTATAATAAAATCAGAATTAATAATTCTGATCTATTATAATAAAATCAGAATTGTATTATAATAAAATCAGAATTAAATATTCTGATTTATTATAAAAAATCAGAATTGTATTATGATAAAATCAGAATTAATAATTCTGATATAAAATAGACAAATCAGAATTTTATTTATGGTTTAATTAGTTAAGTTATAAATCAGAATTATTAATTCTGATATTTATTATCAAACTTAACTCAATTTAATTCTGATTTCTGTGTTTTTCAGAATTATTAATTCTAATTTTTTGTATTTTATTTTGTATTTTTATATCAGAATTTATTTAATTTACCTAAAATACCCCAAACCACCCCCATTTCCATTTTCCTCATTTTTAATTTTTCGCCTCTCCATTTCATTTAAATAAGCAAAAATAAAATCGGAAGAATTAATTAAATCTCCAGTTTTATTATTAAATTCCTTTAAATGCTCTGTAATATGTCCTTCCAGGAAAGCCCAAAAATCATTTCGAATTTGTTTTAGTTGACGCCAAGCATTGCCTAACTTAAATAAAATTTCAAAAATTTTCAAAAATTTTTCAAAAAATTTTTCGAAATTTAAAATAAAATTCAAAAAAAATTTTCAAAAATTTTTGAAAAATTTTTCAAAAAAATTTTTAAAAAAAATTTTTCAAAAAAATTTTCAAAAAAATTTTCAAAAAAATTTTTCAAAAAAATTTTCAAAAAAATTTTCAAAAAAATTTTTCAAAAAAATTTTCAAAAAAATTTTTCAAAAAAATTTTCAAAAAAATTTTTCAAAAAAATTTTTTAAAAATTCCTAAAATTTTTAAAAAAAATTTCCAAAAATTTTTAAAAATTTTCATAAAAATTTTTAAAAATTTTCATAAAAATTTTCAAAAAAAATTTTTTTAATTTTGAAAAATTTTTCAAAAAATTTTCATAAAATTAAAAAAAAAATTTCAAAAAAAATTTTTTTTATTCAATAATTACCAAGGTTAAATTAACAGTCCATGGAAGACATAAATACAACCCCATAATTGGTTTAACTACCAAACTAGACTGTTCATCTAACATTTGTTGTACACGAATAAATGAAGGATCATCCTGAAATAATATTGAATAAATTTTTGTATTTTTGTGTTTTTTCGTATTTTGTGTTTTTTTGTATTTTTGTGTTTTTTCGTATTTTTGTGTTTTTTTGTATTTTTGTGTTTTTGTATTTTTGTGTTTTTTCGTATTTTGTGTTTTTTTGTATTTTTGTGTTTTTTCGTATTTTTGTGTTTTTTTGTATTTTTGTGTTTTTGTATTTTTGTGTTTTTTCGTATTTTGTGTTTTTTTGTATTTTTGTGTTTTTGTATTTTTGTGTTTTTTTTTGTATTTTCGTGTTTTTGTATTTTTGTGTTTTTTTTGTGTTTCTGTATTTTTGTGTTTTTTTGTATTTTTGTGTTTTTGTAGTTTCTGTATTTTCGTGTTTTTTGTGTTTTTGTGTTTTTGTATTTTTGTGTTTTCGTATATTTTTTGTATTTTTTGTATTTTTGTGTTTTTGTATTTTTGTGTTTTTTGTGTTTTCTGTATTTTTGTGTTTTCTGTATTTTTGTGTTTTCTGTATTTTTGTGTTATTTCTGTGTTTTTTTTATGTTTTTGTATTTTTGTATTTTATATTTTTATTTTTTCGTGTTTTCTGTATTTTTGTGTTTTTTTCTTTTTGTGTTTTTGTATTTTTGTGTTTTTTGCATTTTTGTGTTTTTTGTGTTTTCTGTATTTTTGTGTTATTTCTGTGTTTTTTTTATGTTTTTGTATTTTTGTATTTTATATTTTTATTTTTTCGTGTTTTCTGTATTTTTGTGTTTTTTTCTTTTTGTGTTTTTGTATTTTTGTGTTTTTTTGTGTGTTTTCGTATTTTTGTATTTTCTTTGTATTTTTGTGTTTTTGTATTTTTTTGTATTTTTGTGTTTTTGTATTTTTTTGTATTTTCGTGTTTTTGTATTTTTGTGCTTTTTTTGTGTTTCTGTATTTTTGTGTTTTTTTGTATTTTTGTGTTTTTGTAGTTTCTGTATTTTCGTGTTTTTTGTGTTTTTGTGTTTTTGTATTTTTGTGTTTTCGTATATTTTTTGTATTTTTTGTATTTTTGTGTTTTTGTATTTTTGTGTTTTTTGTGTTTTCTGTATTTTTGTGTTTTCTGTATTTTTGTGTTTTCTGTATTTTTGTGTTTTTGTATTTTTGTATTTTCTTTGTATTTTTGTGTTTTCGTATATTTTTTGTATTTTTTTGTATTTTTGTGTTTTTGCATTTTTGTGTTTTTTGTGTTTTCTGTATTTTTGTGTTATTTCTGTGTTTTTTTTATGTTTTTGTATTTTTGTATTTTATATTTTTATTTTTTCGTGTTTTCTGTATTTTTGTGTTTTTTTCTTTTTGTGTTTTTGTATTTTTGTGTTTTTTGCATTTTTGTGTTTTTTGTGTTTTCTGTATTTTTGTGTTATTTCTGTGTTTTTTTTATGTTTTTGTATTTTTGTATTTTATATTTTTATTTTTTCGTGTTTTCTGTATTTTTGTGTTTTTTTCTTTTTGTGTTTTTGTATTTTTGTGTTTTTTTGTGTGTTTTCGTATTTTTGTATTTTCTTTGTATTTTTGTGTTTTTGTATTTTTTTGTATTTTTGTGTTTTTGTATTTTTTTGTATTTTCGTGTTTTTGTATTTTTGTGCTTTTTTTGTGTTTCTGTATTTTTGTGTTTTTTTGTATTTTTGTGTTTTTGTAGTTTCTGTATTTTCGTGTTTTTTGTGTTTTTGTGTTTTTGTATTTTTGTGTTTTCGTATATTTTTTGTATTTTTTGTATTTTTGTGTTTTTGTATTTTTGTGTTTTTTGTGTTTTCTGTATTTTTGTGTTTTCTGTATTTTTGTGTTTTCTGTATTTTTGTGTTTTTGTATTTTTGTATTTTCTTTGTATTTTTGTGTTTTCGTATATTTTTTGTATTTTTTTGTATTTTTGTGTTTTTGCATTTTTGTGTTTTTTGTGTTTTCTGTATTTTTGTGTTATTTCTGTGTTTTTTTTTATGTTTTTTATTTTTGTATTTTATATTTTTATTTTTTCGTGTTTTCTGTATTTTTGTGTTTTTTTTCTTTTTGTGTTTTTGTATTTTTGTGTTTTTTGTATTTTTGTGTTTTTTTGTGTGTTTTCGTATTTTTGTATTTTCTTTGTATTTTTGTATTTTTTTTTGTATTTTTGTGTTTTTTTGTGTGTTTTCGTATTTTTGTATTTTCTTTGTATTTTTGTGTTTTTGTATTTTTTTGTATTTTTTTGTATTTGTGTTTCTGTATTTTTGTGTTTTTTTGTATTTTTGTGTTTTTGTAGTTTCTGTATTTTCGTGTTTTTTGTGTTTTTGTGTTTTTGTATTTTTGTGTTTTCGTATATTTTTTGTATTTTTTGTATTTTTGTGTTTTTGTATTTTTGTGTTTTTTGTGTTTTCTGTATTTTTGTGTTTTCTGTATTTTTGTGTTTTCTGTATTTTTGTGTTTTTGTATTTTTGTATTTTCTTTGTATTTTTGTGTTTTCGTATATTTTTTGTATTTTTTTGTATTTTTGTGTTTTTGCATTTTTGTGTTTTTTGTGTTTTCTGTATTTTTGTGTTATTTCTGTGTTTTTTTTTATGTTTTTTATTTTTGTATTTTATATTTTTATTTTTTCGTGTTTTCTGTATTTTTGTGTTTTTTTTCTTTTTGTGTTTTTGTATTTTTGTGTTTTTTGTATTTTTGTGTTTTTTTGTGTGTTTTCGTATTTTTGTATTTTCTTTGTATTTTTGTATTTTTTTTTGTATTTTTGTGTTTTTTTGTGTGTTTTCGTATTTTTGTATTTTCTTTGTATTTTTGTGTTTTTGTATTTTTTTGTATTTTTGTGTTTTTGTATTTTCGTGTTTTTGTATTTTTGTGCTTTTTTTGTGTTTCTGTATTTTTGTGTTTTTTTGTATTTTTGTGTTTTTGTAGTTTCTGTATTTTCGTGTTTTTTGTGTTTTTGTGTTTTTGTATTTTTGTGTTTTCGTATATTTTTTGTATTTTTTGTATTTTTGTGTTTTTGTATTTTTGTATTTTTGTGTTTTTTCGTATTTTGTGTTTTTTTGTATTTTTGTGTTTTTTCGTATTTTTGTGTTTTTTTGTATTTTTGTGTTTTTGTATTTTTGTGTTTTTTCGTATTTTGTGTTTTTTTGTATTTTTGTGTTTTTTCGTATTTTTGTGTTTTTTTGTATTTTTGTGTTTTTGTATTTTTGTGTTTTTTCGTATTTTGTGTTTTTTTGTATTTTCGTGTTTTTGTATTTTTGTGTTTTTTTTGTGTTTCTGTATTTTTGTGTTTTTTTGTATTTTTGTGTTTTTGTAGTTTCTGTATTTTCGTGTTTTTTGTGTTTTTGTGTTTTTGTATTTTTGTGTTTTCGTATATTTTTTGTATTTTTTGTATTTTTGTGTTTTTGTATTTTTGTGTTTTTTGTGTTTTCTGTATTTTTGTGTTTTCTGTATTTTTGTGTTTTCTGTATTTTTGTGTTATTTCTGTGTTTTTTTTATGTTTTTGTATTTTTGTATTTTATATTTTTATTTTTTCGTGTTTTCTGTATTTTTGTGTTTTTTTCTTTTTGTGTTTTTGTATTTTTGTGTTTTTTGCATTTTTGTGTTTTTTGTGTTTTCTGTATTTTTGTGTTATTTCTGTGTTTTTTTTATGTTTTTGTATTTTTGTATTTTATATTTTTATTTTTTCGTGTTTTCTGTATTTTTGTGTTTTTTTCTTTTTGTGTTTTTGTATTTTTGTGTTTTTTTGTGTGTTTTCGTATTTTTGTATTTTCTTTGTATTTTTGTGTTTTTGTATTTTTTTGTATTTTTGTGTTTTTGTATTTTTTTGTATTTTCGTGTTTTTGTATTTTTGTGCTTTTTTTGTGTTTCTGTATTTTTGTGTTTTTTTGTATTTTTGTGTTTTTGTAGTTTCTGTATTTTCGTGTTTTTTGTGTTTTTGTGTTTTTGTATTTTTGTGTTTTCGTATATTTTTTGTATTTTTTGTATTTTTGTGTTTTTGTATTTTTGTGTTTTTTGTGTTTTCTGTATTTTTGTGTTTTCTGTATTTTTGTGTTTTCTGTATTTTTGTGTTTTTGTATTTTTGTATTTTCTTTGTATTTTTGTGTTTTCGTATATTTTTTGTATTTTTTTGTATTTTTGTGTTTTTGCATTTTTGTGTTTTTTGTGTTTTCTGTATTTTTGTGTTATTTCTGTGTTTTTTTTTATGTTTTTTATTTTTGTATTTTATATTTTTATTTTTTCGTGTTTTCTGTATTTTTGTGTTTTTTTTCTTTTTGTGTTTTTGTATTTTTGTGTTTTTTGTATTTTTGTGTTTTTTTGTGTGTTTTCGTATTTTTGTATTTTCTTTGTATTTTTGTATTTTTTTTTGTATTTTTGTGTTTTTTTGTGTGTTTTCGTATTTTTGTATTTTCTTTGTATTTTTTGTGTTTTTTTGTATTTTTGTGTTTTTGTATTTTCTTTGTATTTTTATGTATTTTATATTATTTTTTCTTGTTACCCCACATGAGCATATGTCCTGCTAAACAGAATGCTGTTAATAATATTAGCAATACAGACAGCCACAGGCTTAGAAACATCAAAAGCTTCAGTTGTATTTTTAGACGAATTGAATTTTGTATTTAAATGGGTTATTAATGCACGAACCTCAAACTTTAAAAAATTTTTTTATTCAAAATTTGGATGTTGTCCAGATTACGTGTCCATCCGCGCGCAATCAACCTTTACCGTCCAATGATCTGTTTATGCGTCCAAGAGAATTCTTATGTGTCCAATCAATAGCGATAAGTACCTGGTTTTTAAGTTCTTAAGTACCTTAAAATATGAAAATACAAAGTCCTAATCACTCATTTGTCAGAGTTATGGTCACAAGTAGAGATCCCTGGCCTGTAGTCCAGGTAAAACCCCAGGCCCAGCAAAAAACCAAGGACAAAAAACGCCCAGGCCTAACTCTGGGTACAGGATAAACCTAGGCCATGGTCCAGGCCCGTGTCGCGTTTTGTACGCGAAACTATTTTTGTAATTTTGACACCTGTTATTTTTTTGAATATTTTCTAATTTTTGTAAGTTTAACTAATACCAGCCAACACAAATTTAATCTTTTTCGTTATTCATTGTAAACCCATTAGTCATTTTTTCTCAACTATTTTAATCCAAAAAATGTAATTGCTAACTTTTACTAGTTGTCACCGAACATCTGCTATTTTTAAACTTTGTCTATGTAAATTCCAATTAAAATGACCTGCCTATAAAAGCCCATCCCTTTACTCTCACTTTAGCTTCACTTTAGCTGCTTCTTAGCTTTATTTCAACAGTCACCCTTTTTTAGCTCAACTAGGCTAAACCTCCCTCTGAATGAACAGACAATTTATACCAGATCTTAAACAAGAAGATCATTTCCCCTGATTATCCAGAATACATTTCTTCCAATCTTAAACAAAAAGATAAATTTAATTTGATCCCATTTTCCCACTAGACTTTAATTTTGAGCCACCTTTAATTTGTATATTTCGAATTCCAAGTAAATAAATATTTTATGTATTTTTCATTAATTCAATAAAAATATGGCAAACAACAATTTTGCCTTAAAATTCCATTTTTCAAGAAATAAGAAATTTGGTTTTTTATAGCTCAGCCGGTGACCCGTTATTAACCGGACATTATATCCTCTACTCCAACTTTTAAAATTTTTTTCCAAATATTCTTTTGTTTTCTCCCGATTTATCTAAAATGTCAGCATTCTACAGAGAACAGATTAACAATCTTTTCATTCCCGCCACTAAAATCGTAGAAAACCAGAAAACCTTCCCTGTCCCGATAAAATGCCTTACCCAGACTACGACCCAATTTCATGATTGTATAATGTCTATTATTGGCAACCTTGATATCGAAAAACAAAATGCAACATTCCTTCTTGACAACTTATCATCATCTCACTCACAATGGATGGATCTTAGGACATCAATGACTGAAAATGAAAGGCTAAACGACAGCCGAATATTCGATGAATTCCTACAAAAAACACCATATTTAAAAATCATTAATGAAATTAAACGCTACTCCCGTAAACTACGTTGCTACCGTAATGATTTAAAAAATTCCCTACCTAAAAATTGCTTACAGTTTGACCATTCTGACCTCCTTCCCGAATTAAATCTAACACCCGACTGTATTAAAATTTTAAAATCTTTCCCGAACCAACCCTTTAAAGAAAATCCACCGAGTTCTTTACAATCCCTGTATAATTCAAACAACCATTTTTATCCTTACCAGACCCATGCTCAGCTTAATTTATCGCCAAATCCTTTAGACCAAGAAAACCTTCCTTCCATCCAAAATTCAAACATTTTAAGAAATGAATTTAATAATTTTTACGTTTCCGAAATTCTAAACCACCAATCTTCCAACAATGATTATAAAGAAATTTCCTTTGGACCACCTCCCGGCTTTGACTCCTTTGAAAGGATTCCCAGTATTGATAAAAGTAAACCTGATGACATCAAAAATCCTAATTGTGAAGAATTAATGACCATACCAGAGCTTATAAATGAGAATTGTGACAACAAACAACACATTAATTCCGAAGAATCACAACATAATCTAAATGATAATCCCCCTCCCGGCTTTCCTCCTCTCGAAGAGATTTGTATCACTACAGACAAGAATAGTTCTGATGATTTTAAAGATTCTATTTGGGAAGAACAAATCCAATTACCAGAAATTATAAATGAAGATTATGAGGACGAACAACACCCTTATTTTAAAGAATCACCAGATAATCTGATTAATAATTCCCCTCCAAATTTACAGGATTCTCAGTCTAATAATTTACCAACCCCCATTCCATATGAAATAAATTACATTCCTAAATCGGACGATTTAAATAAAGAAACTGAAATAATTACCACCACTTCTATTTTTTGTGTAAAAGTAAGAAAAGGCATTCCCAGGCCACGTAAAAAACAAAGAATAAAATTGCCCAAACAAGAATACCGAGATACAACAATTATAAATCTCTCCCGACCCGATATTACCACCCGACAAATGCGCCCTACAAGAATGGGATTCGTCCATCCGATTAAACTTAAACATTGCAACACCCCCACTAAAAATAATGTCCATTTGAATTATTTGAAGCATACCCATAAAGAAAATCCTTCCCCTCAACTTCCTCCATTGAAAGCAACCCGAATAAATGAGAAAAGAAATCTTACTATTAAAAAATTGTCTACCACTTTGTCAAATATTAAGTTATTTGAACTACAATTTATTCTACACGAGGTAACAAATTGGAAAGAAATACTGTCCATGACTGACAAACAACATGCTATTGTTCCTCGGCATGGAAAGACTACACGGAAAAAATCAAACCACGTTAACAAAAATTGGTAAGATCAAAAGTAAATATACAGAAATTAATTCCCTAAATTTTACCATCTCCTTATTCCATCAACATGATCACCCCAAGAATATGAATATGCTTTCAACCTGGAACCTGCCTATGAATGAAAACTAAAAGATGAATGACAAGATTGACTGATCAATTGAAGAGAAGAAAATCCCAAATTTTAAAAGAATCATTTTCCTGGTCGCCCCAGTGTCGCGTTTTGTACGCGAAACTATTTTTGTAATTTTGACACCTGTTATTTTTTTGAATATTTTCTAATTTTTGTAAGTTTAACTAATACCAGCCAACACAAATTTAATCTTTTTCGTTATTCATTGTAAACCCATTAGTCATTTTTTCTCAACTATTTTAATCCAAAAAATGTAATTGCTAACTTTTACTAGTTGTCACCGAACATCTGCTATTTTTAAACTTTGTCTATGTAAATTCCAATTAAAATGACCTGCCTATAAAAGCCCATCCCTTTACTCTCACTTTAGCTTCACTTTAGCTGCTTCTTAGCTTTATTTCAACAGTCACCCTTTTTTAGCTCAACTAGGCTAAACCTCCCTCTGAATGAACAGACAATTTATACCAGATCTTAAACAAGAAGATCATTTCCCCTGATTATCCAGAATACATTTCTTCCAATCTTAAACAAAAAGATAAATTTAATTTGATCCCATTTTCCCACTAGACTTTAATTTTGAGCCACCTTTAATTTGTATATTTCGAATTCCAAGTAAATAAATATTTTATGTTTTTTCATTAATTCAATAAAAATATGGCAAACAACAATTTTGCCTTAAAATTCCATTTTTCAAGAAATAAGAAATTTGGTTTTTTATACCCGGCTCGATCTCATATGCCAAATGTTCTTACACATAGAACCGAGTGCTTTGCAGCATATATTGGACGCATAAAGGTTGATTGGACGAGTAATCTGGACAAGAGCCAAAAATTACCCCCTCAAGAACCTTAATTTTTTCCTCCATCGCCGTCCTACCAAAACCAAAATCTCTGAGGACGTGAAGTGAAAAACGCCTCTGTTCTCTCCATTTATCCCCTTGTATTTGAATAATTCCGTTGTGCCCGTCCATAAACATGTGGGTTATAAAGTTCTGCCAACGACCAGAAAAGACATCTCCATTGCGGATAAAATATTTTTTGAGTAAATCAACGTCTGATACCATAACCATCTTTAATTTGGAAATTTAAAAGGTAGAAAGTAGGGTGGAGGGTATATGTTTTTATGTTCCTTTCGGACTAGGAAGTAGGCTGAAAGGATATAACATCTATAGACTAGGAAGAAGGGGAAAGAGAACATGTATCCTTCAGACTAGGGTGTAGGCTGGAAATAATATGCCCCCTTATTCACTAGAAAGTAAGGTGGAGGGAACAACCCCCGTTTAGGACTAGCGAGTTGGACAGAACATGCCCCATTCTAATAGGAGGTAGTTTGGAGAATCCTGTCCCTTGCGGACTAAATACATATGTCCTTTTCGGACTAGGAAGTAGGCTAGAGAGAAATATGGACATGTTCTTTCCAGCCTACCTCCTAGTCCGCAAAGGACATTTGGAAGTAAGCTGGAGAGCATGTCCTTTTCAGCCCACTCCTTTCAGATTAGGAGTAGGCTGGAGAGAACATGTCCTTTTTGGATTAGGAAGTATGCTGAGGGGAACATGTTCCTTTTGAACTAGGAAAAAGGCTGGATAGAATAATACGAAACACCTACAGGAATAGGTCCCATCCAAAAAGTAAAAATTCCACCGTAATATTTGTTCCATTTTTGTAATAATAAATCAATGTTAGACGCACCGTGTATAAGAACTAAAAATTCGTACTTGAATTTTTCAAAAAATCCCCCACCCTGAGGCATATTTCCAGCAACCAGCCAGGGGACGGGACCTGGCGGCAGAAAGCGTCTTTTCCAGTATAACTCATAAAATGAGTAAATCAGGAACAATAAAGGGCATAAGAGGATTGTGAAGGATTTGGCAGTAAGTGAAAAAATGGATAATAATTCCAAAACAGCTGAATTGACGGCATCCAAATTAATTTGTTTGAGGGTTAAAAATATAATTATAAGGCACAAGATATGGAGTAGATTAATTGAAGTAGTTGATTTTCCTTGTGGACGATCCATATAATTTTTAAATATTTAAAATAATTTTAAAATGATTTTCAATCAATCACCAAAAATAAAAGAGAAATTGCGGAGCTTTCCTCCCCACCTTTTCCTCAAATCATGTCAAATCCTTTTACATGCGCAGCAAACAAGTATGTCACGCCTTGGATATTTGGGGCGCGAACTTGCTGACGATTTTATTTGTTTTATGAGCTTTTATTTTTTAAGAAGAATTAAATGTACTTTAAAGAATATGAACAGAAATTAATGAAAAAAGTATCCGGATGTGGAAGAAAAAATTAAATTGAACGGGATAAGATAAAGATTTCGAAAAATAAATTATGATTATCAAAACTAAGGCTATTCAAGACAAAAAATTTTCCAAGACACAAGACAAAAATGAGACTCTGTAATGCCTCAAGGTTGTACGGGCTATGCCGAAGTTGCTCAAGTTTATCCAAAAGTAAAGATAGGTGGATTGGTGCTAGTATGGGCTAATAGGGGGGGGGGGGGAGGGTATAGGCTACTGACATAGACCGACATGACATGGGGGTGAGGGAGGTATGGCTACCGACATATGGGCTATCTACACACACACTACCGACATTTATACAGGGTGACACAAAAGAAACTGCACACGTTATTTTCGAAATAACTTTATTCAAATTAAAGATAATAAGATCAAGTAAGGCTTATATGATAGAGGTTTAAACAAGGAACAAATATTATAAAGTAATTTTGGATTACCTAGCCTTCACTTGGATGCCGTGTGAATGCCTATCAAAATCAAACCAAGATTCTGCTGCTCCCATTGACTAGGACAACTGAACATGATGTTGAACTAGGTTAGCTTCACTCCTCAACACCTACTCCCCAACTTAAAAATTAAGTTGGGGAGTAGGATTTTTTAAATTTAATCTTTTTTATTTAATAAGATGTCATGAGATTTTTATAAGAAATATTGCACTTTTATGGATAAACAAAAATCGGAAAAGAATTGAAAAATAAAAATATATGTCTGACTTTATTACTTTTTTAAAATATTTATTTACATAATTAATTGAATTAAAATATAATTTAAACAAAAAAACATCTCCAAAAAATGCCAAAAATTATTTTTGGATTTATACTCGGCATTTTGAATATATTTTTCGTTGTTACAAACGTAAGAAGAATTTTTTTTAATTTTTAAAATTTGATAATTAAAACAAGAAGAAGAAATAAAGTGGCCGAAATCACCCGTGAAAATAGTAAAGGATTGGAGGGGATTTGATCCTGAGGGCTCTCCTATAAAAGGTTGTTAACCACCCAAACCATTTCACCACCGACTAATCGTCTTTTGCTGTCCGCTATGACGGCAAGAAACTTGTACAGTTACCCGATCCTCTCAGTCTCCGTCAACTGACTTTCGTCTTTTTTTCGACTTGAAACTCGACCCAGGAAAAATTCCAAAACCCGACCTGACTTGCGACCCGACTTGCTGGGAATATTTTCTTTATTTACCTTGGAATATATTACATTGGAATATTTTTTTTATTTTTCAAAAGTTTTTTTCAGGCCTTCAACGATTGTTCTGACAATTGTGGCTATGGAGGATATGATAGTTATGGAATGGGTAACGGGATGATGTACTTCGACAATCATTACAATAACACTCCTTATTGGTACGGAAACAATCACCATTTCCACCACCCCTATTCTTGGAGGTATCCCAACTATTTTCATAGTCCATATGGATTTGGTGGAAGATTTGGAGGTTATGGGGGAGGAGAGTATGGAGGAGGACATCCATTCTATTACAACAACTATCACCATCACAACTATTATCCTTATTATTGAAGGAAGAAATAATCATATAAAACTGATTGATAAACTTTTAATTTGTAAACTTTTAGTGTTAAATTATTATAAATAAATTTTTTATTAAAAAAAGTTGGTTTACCGGATTGTCTCTAATACAAGCCCTGGGCTTCTATTTTTCAATACCCCTCATTGTGTGGGCTTCTATTTGGGCATGGGCTTCTATTGGAGATGGGCTTCTATTGGAGATGGGCTTCTATTATAGACAATCCGGTAAACGAATTCTGGCTTGTTAGGCTTACAAAATTATTAAAATTTTCGCCTGCAGCGCTAAAAAAAGGAAGATTTTTGGCCTAAGAACCGGCACTTGTAAAGAAGAGAGTGCCCGTATTATAGGGGTCACAAATATTCATAAGCAAATTTTCCATTCTCTCACTATCAAAAAGGATTAAATATTTCCTCTGCAATTAGACAAAAAATTTATCCGCACAAATATTTTTTATTGTTTATAATTTGTGAAATTAAAAAACCCTTTAGCTAATTTTAGATCAATGAATAAAACTTGAAATTATTGAAAGTTTTATGACAATATTTCAATAATTTTCAGATAATTCAATCACTTTTCCAAATCCTTCACCAATTTCTATCCACTTAAGTTTAAATCATTAACTAATTTCAATCAACATGGAAGTAAATTATTCTAATAATAACACCCCTCACTCCAAAACTAATTATACAAAATTCAGTCCGAACTCGAATCACAATATGCCTCCTCAACAGAATATGCCTTTCTCAATCTTTCCATTGCTTTCTCAACACAATAGTTTTTACTGAACTAATCAACTTGTTCCAAATTCAATCTGGACTCGTATCAGTTCTCAACACAAAATTTCCTTGTCTGAAGAAAAATGATAAAATCTTTACTTTGCAATTAGAACAAAGAATTTATTCGCACATTTATTTTTTATTGTTTGTGAAATCAAATTAAAAAGACAATTGTCCCCTCCAAATTGTTGCTTCCAAACAAATTCATTTATATAACTTTTAAATGTCGTTTCTGCTGTTCCAAATTCAGTTTTACTCTTCAGTTTTTTTAATTCAAGTTTACGTATAAACCGAGACATTCAGATAAAATAAAGTAAAACGTGGTAATAATTTAAATCACTGAAGGTCTGGAGACATTTGAATGGAATGTGCTATGATAAAATATTGTTTAGGTTAATATTGTTTATGAGCTTTGGAAACAATTCGATTGACGATTTTTGTAATTCTGTTGGAAGTTTTCTGTAAATGTTTGGGATGTCTATGAAAAATGAGTTTTAACGAAGGCAGGCCGAAACTTGCGGACCGACTTTTGCGGTCCAAAACTTGCGGACCCGACGAATTTCTCAGAACATAGCTCATTCGAAAGAGCTCGACGAGCTGAGTCGAATGACATCAAAATCATCGTGATTGTACAAGCTTGGACAAAGTTACGATAGAAAAACATAAACCTAAACCTATGGGTCGGTCCGCAAGTTTCGGCCTGCCAATGGAACCGGAACTTCCGGTAAAACTCAAGAAAATAAGATACGAAATATCGAAACGAAATTTCGATCAACCCTGCTTTAAGCATTCAAACCTTTCGCAATGCACTTTCCTTTAATTTAGACATGCACTTTTATTTGTTATTATGAAATGTAAAATAATTTTCCCAATGTATTTTCCTCCATATTAATTATTTAAATTAATTAAAATTAAAAATTTATCATTTTTGGCTAATTAGTAGTAAATAAAATAATATTTTAAATAAATTTTTTAAATTAATTTATGATGAAACCTGATAGTATTCTAATAATCCTAACATTCAACGCGATTTTTTTGAGTTTAATTAATTCTGTTAAAAATAATAAAAATCAAAGCGAGTTTCCTAGAAATGAGGAAACCGCAATGGACAACAATGGGGCTGAATCATCGGTTAATCCTCAAATTCAAAAAGATGAGGCGTTAAAACCAAAACATACAATTTCAAAAGGTATTTTTCCGTTTGGGAGCAGGCCAAGGTACCGCAAGCCCTTAGTAACGCAGAGCTAAAACTTTGTTCAGAATTGTCGAATCCTGGACGCCCTGGTATGGTTCGATGCGCCGCGACGGGCCTAATCGAACCAGACCAGGGCTTCCCGGATCGTCAATTCTAAACGAAGTTATAGCTCTGCGGGTACCTTGGGCCGTCGGTACCTTGGCCTGCTTCCTATTAATAAAATACCCAACTATAGATAATAAAGCAAAGCGTAATAAAAGTGAATATATGAAAATGTACCGCCAAAACAATAAAGAAAAGTTGAAAAAAGATAAACGAAAATACCGAGAAGATAATAAGGAAAAGTTGAAGAAATATAAACGAAAATACCGTGAGGATAATAAGGAAAAATTGAAAGAATATGACCGAAAATATAACCAAAATAATAAAGAAAAGAGGCGAGAATGTTATCAAAATTATTACCAAAAGAATAAAGAAAAGAGGCGAGAATCATGTCGAAATTATTACCAAAAGAATAAAGAAAAGAGGAGAGAATATTTCCAAATTTATCGAGAAGAAATGAAAAATAAAAAGGAAAACTTAAAATATGTTGATCCGAAGGTAGGAAATATTCACACTGATAATAATGAAGGAACTTTTGTTAATGCACGGAATAATGATTTTAGAAATAAAGGTAAATCGCCAATCATTTACGAAGAGGGCATTCAATTTGAAGAAGGAAGTCTTTTTAATCAAGAGGAGGAAGAAAGTACAAAAGACGAAACAGAAACTCATGTGGATAATCAAAATCAAACGGTGGTAGAAAAGCCAAATAATATTCCCGAGAATTGCACGAATCAAATAAATTTAAATAAGTATCCTTTTGATTTGAACGAGAATCCTGAGGATAACGATGAAAATGTTTGCTAGAAAGGATTCGAAGAGAGAAAAATTAAAAAATTTTCATTTTTTACTCTAAATTTTAAAAATATTTTTGCTATCTGTTTAAATTGAGTCCAAGGAATTCATCCAGAAAACCATTTAGACACTCATAAAATTTGGGTCATCCTTTCCTTGTACGGGTAAGGCCCAAGTAGGCGCGTGCGGCCAGGTAGGCGCAGAGCCATAACTTGCTTCAAGATTTCCGAATCGTTCAAAATTTAGTATTAAACGATTCCTCTCATCGAGATAAAGAGATTGGTACCAAAATTGATAAGGT